CATAGAACATATGATCCCTGACCTCAAGAAATTTAATTTCATTTGGCTGTCCAAAAACAATACAAATAATAAGCTAACAACTGGTATAAACTTGCTTCTAGAAGTCAGATCGATAGCTTCTACGTAGTGGTTACATTTTTGGGGAGGTGTAGAGCCCAGAAGGGAATGCTAGGGCCTTCCATGGTATCTGCACTATTCTGGTTTTTTGTTTTTTTTGTTTTTTTTTATCTTGGTGTTTGTCACAAGGGTGTATCACATTTGTGAAAATTCAGTGAGACTATGTATTTGACATGTGCGCTTTTATATGTGTATATATGATAAATAGATATATTCCTATAACATGCTCAGAGAAATTGGTATAAAATTTGCATAAATATGAAACATACCTAACTAGTGTATAAATCAATTTCAAGTGCATATTACAAAGAATCAGTGCTGTTTGAAGTTCATAAGAAAGAGAAATAACTATGATTTGCAATGGTTGCAAAAATATTACTGAGCATTTAACTACACGACAGTCACATTATAGCCACTCACATACACTAGTTAGTTAATCTTCAGATCAACCCTATAGGTAAGTGCTTGTATTATTTTCATTTTAGGATGAAGGAATTAAGACTCAGAGAGTTTATGTGATTTGTCCAGTTGTACATGGCTTTTCAGTAGTGGAACCAGAATTTAAACCTAAGTTGGCCTGACTGCACTGAGATGCCTACTTACTGCCAATAGGGTCAGGAGAGAATCCATGGAAGTTTATATTATATGAGGAGCAGAAAGTAGAGGAGGAGGAAGTGCAGATTTAAAGGCAAAAATGGATTTGGGGCAGAAAGTTAACTCCTCTGGCTGAAGCAATCAGCTTTGCTTTAATCACCTTCAAAATCCTTTTGTGGGCAGTCTCAGGACAGAATTGCTTGAGAAACGTGAAATGTATCTGCCTGCCTGTTAAAACAGTCACAGTAGATGTAAAACCAAAAATAACCTGTTAAATCTGTTCAAAGTAAAAGCTGTTTTTTTTTTAAACATACATAGCACTTTAAAATTATCATGAAATGACTCCCCAGCTGAGAAATGGCATGTGCCTGTTAGCACAAACAATTGGTCAACACACATTGGTTGTTACGCTGTTCACAAACTCACAGTTCTTTCTTCTAGACTTGTGTACTATCTACCTGAAGTACTGAAAATAGAAGTTTGCCATTTCAAAAGAAAGAAAAAAAAAATGCCATAACACTATCTTGGAAGCAAGGCATAACTAGCTTCTTCATATGTACTTCTGACCTCAGCTCCTGCTCTTAGGGATGCTGTGAAGAGTTTAGTATCATCCCGGAACTACAGCAATTAGAGAGGATTACTGTATTGCTGGATGATAAATAAATGAGGCGAAAACTGTTCAGTTGTCTCCCGTCACACTGGGCTCTTCCTGCAAACCGCCCTACAGTGCCACCCTCTACTAGAGCTCAGAGTCTCAGGGTTAGAAAGAAACATTGCAAGGGCATCTGGTAGCATCCTCTGCCCAAAGCAGTGCAGAGACCTCCCATCGGCCCACCTCCCATGTAACTCCAACTCACCAGATCTCACATTTGATTTGGATTACACCCCTGCCGAGAACATCAAATCTCAAATGGAGGACCCAGGGGGCTCAGCAAAAAGGTCACCAGATGCCATCTTAAAGGTCTGCCAGCCTTGGCAGCGACTCAGTGCCACCAATTTCCAACTGTGCGCCATCTAACAGGCCTCCAACCCTCTGGAAAAGACAGTCCTGAGTGTGCCAACCAGTGAATGGGGATCTAATTTCAGTAAATGAAAGCATGTTCTTATTTGGAAGTAATAGCAGATAATCAACACAACCAGACTTTCCTTTTTTAAGAAGACAACAACAAAATAAAAATATAAAATGGGATTGGGGAGGAGAGTGCAGCTGAAAATCTCACCAAACTCCATGGGGAAGCTGAAATGGTGAAGTTTGTGCTAATGTAGCAAATGTTATTGTGATGAAGTGTGAGGTTTTTTTTTTTTTTTCATTTTCTTCTTCTTCCTTTTTTTTTTTAATGCCAGGGAGCCATACCATGTATTATCATAGAAATTTAGTCTTCAGAAAGATTTTTAAAGTACTTTAACTCCCAAACCTATGTCCGAATAATCTCTTCATCAATGGAATTATATGAGCTAACATTCTAAATGCTCATATGTGTCAGATACCACATAGAAATTTTCATAAATTCTTTCATGGTATCCTAATAATCCTGAAAAGTAGATATTACTTTTTTAAAAGATTTTATTTATTTAATTGAGAGAGAGAGAGAGAGCATAAGTGGGGGGGAGGGGTAGAGGGAGAAGCAGACTCCCTGCTGAGCAGGGAACCTGGTGTGGGACTCTATCCCAGACCTGGGATCAAGACCTGAGCCGAAGGCAGATGCTTAACTGACTGAGCCACCCAGGTGCCCCTGAAAAGTAGATATTATTATCACTATTATGCAGATGAAAAAATGGATGATCAGAGAGGTTAAGTACATTACTCAAGGCCTCCTTGCAAGTAGAGATCTAAGACTCATAGTCCGATCTGTATGGCTCAAAGGCCACACAGATTATTATTATAATTATTGCTCAGGCAATAATTATTACTCCCCATTCCCATAGACCATGTGGATGTATCCAGAGGGTAGTAGAGAGAGAGAACTGTTTGTGCTACATCCTCTCAAAATATGGACAGAAGTCCTTCCTCAGAAATTGTGCCTTAAACCACTGAGATAATTGGGAGAAAGGTGAGCCAGTTGCACAATCACTTTGCTTAGACTTTCAAAAGTGAAACAGGCTAGAATGCAGTGCACAGGACATTAAATTTCAAGCTGATAAAGACTGGCTCAAAGATTTAAAAGCAGTGCAGGCTGCAAAACTCCTGGGTATAATCCACGTGAGGACATCATGATGAGACAGTGTTGGGGCTTTTTTTTTTTTTCTGTAAAATCAAGGAAAATGATTCTGAAGAATTGTGCTTAATCAGAGCAGATTTTGATACTGATTAATCTGCTTTGTTTTTTAAAGTGAGTGACTTACAGAACTTGTATTCACTGTTACTCGTAAATTACAAGGTGGTCAGTTAGATTACATGATCTCTTTTTACCTATTAAAATAAATTTTCCTCAGTTCTTATGTACTACAAAACTTTGGCCTTTTGAACTTTAGTTTTGCCTATCAATAAAGTTCAGAGGTCCCAAAAGAAAGAGCCTCCCTTCTGTACTCAGGTGACGAGGGAGGTGTTTATAAAGGAGACAGCACTCTACTTTGTGACTCATATAAAATTATCATTTGTCAGGGTTGACTGACAATTGCTCTTTGGTAGGATGCACTTTTAGCTTTTAGAAAATGATATCCCAACACACCTACTCTCTGTGTCCTTCTTTCTTCACTTACATGCAGTTCTACAGCATGAGATATATATTTACACCATAGATGTTTTCTTCTATCTGACTTGTCTTTCAGCTATGCATTACTACCTTATTGGTCAATGTTGTATTGGGCATTCAATGGATTGTTTTGTCTTCAAATTTATGAAAAATAGTGTGATAACTGAAAAAATAGAGGATGAAAAAAGGAGATCATAGAGGAATTTCAAACCAAATCTGCTTAAGGAGGATAGAAATGATTCCACGAAGGTGTTGACCAAGAGGAAGAGGCTAGAAAGCAAGCAAAAGCATTTGTTTGGGGTCTTGAGGGATTGCAATCTCAGAGACACAGGATCTGCTCTCATGCCTTCTGATTCTGGCTGGTTTTGGCCAATGGGTAGCCCTGGCAGAAGATGGCTCTGTCCTGCAACATTGCCTTAAGCTCCTTGTGTTTCTTGCTCAAAGGTCATTACATTTCTCAAGGTGGCCTGAGCTACAGAGTGTTCCCTCCTCGGCAGCATTCTCCTCTTCCCATTTCTGCAAACTGAAAGCTGGTCACAACTTTGCCTCTGCAAGCCTGTGGTTCCTGCTACAGCTTACATTTCTCTTACTCTTATAAACAAACCCTTCTTGAATCAACCTCATCTGAATTAGGTGATCTGTTTCCTACTGGACCTGACTTGTACATTATTATGTAAATTTTTGAAACCAAACCATATATCCATCTATAACTGTTTTTACAGAACTGATTCATGGATAGAGATCTTCTGCCAAAGTACATACACTTTTTTAAAGTTTTTATTTAAATTCTAGTTAGTTAACATATAGCATAATATTGGTTTCAGGAGTAGAATTTAGTGATTCATCACTTACATGTAACACCCAGTGCTCATCACAAAGTACATGCACTTTTTTTTTTTTTAAGATTTTATTTATTTATTTGACAGAGAGAGACAGCGAGAGAGGGAACACAAGCGGGGGGAGTGGGAGAGGGAGAAGCAGGCTTCCCGCCAAGCAGGGAGCCCAATGCGGGGCTCGATCCCAGGACCCTGGGATCATGACCAGAGCCGAAGGCAGACGCTTAACGACTGAGCCACCCAGGCACCCCAAAGTACGTGCACTTTTAAGGCTTTTGAAAAGTATACTTAAAAGCCAATAGCGTATGAGTACTCTTTTCTTCTAAATCCTTGTCAACCCTGGATATTTCCATTATAAAATATTTCTGATTTTATTGGTAAAAATAATATCTCCTTGCTGTTTAAATTTTTTTTTGTGCCAATCACATTGAATCTCCCCTGCCCCCATCACACACATATCTAATGTTCATTTTTATTTCTTCTTCTGTGAATTTCCCATCTAGATCTTCTGCCACTTTGTGAAACTGGGCTGGCTGCTCATCCTTTTCCTACTGATTTGCAGGAGCTCTTCATACATTAAGAGGATTAATTTTTCTCCTGTCATAAATCTTGTAAATAGTGTATTGTTTTTTGTTTACTTTTTATTCTATTTTTAAAAAATATTTTTAGTTAATATTTCAAATATTTAGGATTGATGGACACCTATTTTTTTTTATATCACTGATTTGGCATTCATTCACATAATGCCATATACTCTTACTGAAGGTTTTATGCCTATGTCTTGCAACACTTTGTAGGAGATTAATAAAGAAACAGCTTCCTGTAGTAAAAAGGCATAAAAGAAGTATGACTTTAACATAATACTCCATCACTTTGAATTCGTGAAAATGGTTATAATAGTGTGTGCTCTGATGTTGCTCTGTTTTAAAGAAAGATTGAGTTCCTGGATATTAAGGTATATAGATTATATAGCAAGAAAAGCAATAAACAAAGATAAGGCATTATGATCAGTTCTTTTCAAAAAGGAATAAGTAGAGTACTTGAATTCTTAAATCACGAAGTTTTATCCAGGTTTTCTTTTTTTTTTTTTTTAAAGATTTTATTTATTTATTTGAGAGAGAGAATGAGATAGAGAGCATGAGAGGGGGGAGGGTCAGAGAGAGAGGCAGACTCCCTGCTGAGCAGGGAGCCTGACGTGGGACTCGATCCTGGGACTCCAGGATCGTGACCTAAGCTGAAGGCAGTCGCTTAACCAACTGAGCCACCCAGGCACCCCATATCCAGGTTTTCTATAGAGACTATAATTGGTCATTTCTACAATCTCCTGCGTGGATTACCATAATGACTCCCTAAATGGTCCCTTTCTTTTTACTCAGGTTTCTTCAAATTTATCCTCCACACAGCAGCCAGAACCATCCTTTAGGTTGTGACTTCTGGTGCTCACAATTTTCCAATGGCTTCCCATTCTACATAGAACAAACCCTAAGTTCCTACCATGGTCCACACAGCCCAGGATCTGAGCCCTGCTGGCCTCTCTGACCTCATTTCCTGTCCCCTCGCCCCTTGTTCACTCTGCTGCACCAACATTGGCTTCCTTGCTCCTCCCTAAACATGTCGTGAGGCTTTCTATTCGCTGTTCCCTCTGCCCACAATGTTCTTTCCTCAGGGATTTGTGTGGTTTACTCTCTGAGCAGATCTGTGGAGGCACCAGGATCATGGTGAACACCTGTAATGTCACTTGGGAAAGGCTGAACCTCCTCCCGGGCAGGATAGTGGCAGCTACGTGGGTATCCTGATCTCTGGGTACTGTGCTCCTGGAAAACCATGTTCTCTCACTTTTTATGAAGTAAGCATAGGCAGCCTTGTACAAAAAAATCTGCTTGGGCTCCAGGTGGTCAATTTAGGTGCTGTTCGTAGCAGGTGCTGCGTACAGCGGTTGCTGGGAAAGTCAGATGTCTAATATTTGGAGAACTTGAGGCTGTGGGAAGTTGCAGCCTCTTCTTTGGAGGCAGGAGCAGGAAGAAGAAACTAGAACTGCTAGTTTTATGGAAAGTTGGAATCCAGTGAGTCATGCCCTCCAGGCTGAAGTCGGACCAATCCTAGCCAGCTCACTGCTAACTAATAACTTGCTCAAAGAGGCCTTCTGAGAACACCCTTCATGACTCAACATACCCTTACGATCCTCCTCTATTTTTCCTCACAGCACTATGCTCACTTGAACAGTCATTATTCATATGTCTACTATGTGTCTCCCATCATTAGAAGTTTAGATATATTGCTGTATTCCCAAGGCTTGGCACTCAGTAGGTGCTCAATGTTTGTGGAAAGGATGTTGATGGAATTCCATATATGCATTAATTTCTAAAACTGTTAACATTAGTGCTTTTAAAAAGTTCAAGAAAGAAAAAAAATAATGTATTCATATGAAGGGCTTTGAGGGATCAAAAAATAACAGAATATGGGCTCCAGGATAATCAGGTGGGAAAACACCAAAACTTTTAAACTAGGCTATCAATATCAACACACATTATAACAAATATTTGCTACCCTTTCCCATAAAAATTTGCAGCCAGCTTCCCCTTTACTGAACAATACTATACCGACAGCAATGTAACTATGGAATGAAGTGCTTTGGGTCACTGATTCTTGGCATTGGAAGGAACTATTGAGGCCACCTTTATTCACTGGAAGCATCTCTACTCATGGGCATTTCTTGAAATGGACCCAATTCCTCTTTTATTTAACAGCTCAATCCCCAGATTCTGTAAATGTTCCCCTAAGCCACAGTTCATACCCTGGACCTTCCATCATGCTACACCTTTAGTGCCCACACTTTCAGTGTGCGAGGGTCCCTCCTAAAAGGTGGCATGCAGAAGGAGGTACAGTATTGCCCTAGTGGCATATCTAGTTCTGAATACATTGGGCCTCCCGCATACCTCTCTGTGGATCCTCTCGGCTCATGCTGAGCACAAACAGAAATGTAAAGGGGAAAACACTCCATTTTATCCTCTACTCTCTACAACTACCACATACGACCAGTCACCAAATGTGTGTGGGTGTTTCCCCCTACCAAGCAGTTCTTCAATACTAGCTGGGTATCCCTATAATTCAATTCAGTTCTGATGCTATCTACCTAGAGTTAGCACAGACCCCACAGGTTCAGGGCTCCGTCCCACAAGACTGTCCCATCCCCTTCAGACATCAATCACAAGTCCAAGTTATTCCCCATCTTTCTGATAGCCCTACTATAAATCAGGATTCTCACAACCCCCTCCTCAGGTTTGATGAAATTGCTAGAGCAGCTCACAGAACTCAGGAAAACAGTTTACTTACCAGATTACTGATTTATTATAAAAGGATATAATTTAGGAATAGCCAAATGGAAGAGATGCATAAGGCAAGGTATGTGGGAAAGGGCATGGAACATCTATGCCCTCTCCAGGTACACCACCCTCCCAGCACATAGATGTGTTTGGCAATCTGGAAACTCTTTGAACCCCACACTTTTGAGATTTTTAGGGAGGCTTCATCATGTAGTTATGCTCAATCATTAACTCAATCTCCAGCCCTTCTCCCCTTTCCAGAAGATGAAGGGTAGGGCTGAAAGTTCTAAGTTTGTAATCACGGCTTGGTCTTTCTGGTGACCAGCCTCCATCCTGAAACTGTCCAGAGCCTATTGAGAGTATCCTCATGGGAGCAGAGACACTGCATCACCCAGGAAATCCCACGGGATTTAGGGACTTTGTGTCAGGAACCAGGGTCAAAGACCAAATATTAGGACAAAAGATGCACCTGGTGCTCTTATCTCTTAGGAAACTACAAGGTTTTTAGGAGCTCCATGCCAGGAACTGGGAGCAGAGACCAACAGATATATTTTCTATTATTTTGCAACAAGTAAAATCCAAACATTTATTCAATATAATCATTTACATGTACTCTTATCTGAGGACAGATTTTGCATATATCTCCATTGATTTCATCTTGTTGGTTTTAGCTCATTTTTCTGCCAAGGCTTTCCAGCATTCTTCTACCTACATGTTTACTGAAGAGATTTCAGTTATGGATTAAAAAATGTTGACTAAAAACAGGGTCACACACAAATCCTCTCAACCTCTCCACCTCTAACACAGAATGTTGACATCAGTTGTTCAATCACCACCATGTTGGCATAATCTGGTTTTAGTCAACATGTACCAACCCTTAGTGACCATCACTTTTGTGTTTTTGTTTTCACAACTAATATATTTAATTCTTTGGCCTGCAATTTTGCCAGGGATTGTCCATAAGCTTCAAGTTTTGTGGTTTTATTACCCACTTTTATCTCCTTTTAGAAAATGGGAATATTTGTCTCCTGTCAGTTGGCATTATCTTGCTTTCCATGAGCAATCAAAGATTACTACTTAGGGTCCTATGGTAACATCTGCATGCTACTTTAGAAACATGGGCCTTTAGACTTGGATTGAAAGCAACTGAGTATTGTCTTTCTAGATCTTTATTTTTCTTGGCACCCATTGTGCTGTAGCTAATTTATTAGGCTTTCAATATGTATAAGACTTTGTACTTAGTGCTGAGGGTGCAGTCGTGCACATGGGCTAAATAGAGAAGCCAGAAATGCATAGGAAATCGTCACAGAGTATAACAGTCCCTTAAGGGTGCTATGGAAGCCCACAGGGGAGGGAGTGGGTGAATCTGGGGCTAGAGGTGGTGGCACCTCATTAGATCTGCATTTTAGAAAGATGATGCTGGCCGTACTTGAGAAGTGGGCTTCTCAAACTGTAATGTTGCATAGAGTCACCTGGGAATTGACAAAAATGCAGATTGTGACTCACTGTGTCTGGAGAGGGGCCTGCAATTCTGCATCTACCCAGCTCCCTGGTGAAGCTGATGCTGGTGGTCCATGGATTACCCAATGGGGAGCATGCCTTTATAAAATGGATTAGAGAAAGAGAGAAAGAGCAGGTTGGAAGTCTGGTGGAGTGATCTGGGAGGCAAATGATGGTGGCAAAACTCAGGGACACTTGTTTCGCTCTTTGAAGCCTGGAGATTGATCTCTTTTGTGAGGAACTTGACTACTAAATGGGTATTGAGTATTTTCCTTTCATCTGTCAATAACTGTACAGGCAAAATTAAGGATAGAGGGAGGGAGCTCGACTCCAGTCTTAGTTCTTAGTAACTGGCCTCACTTTAAGCCCAACCGAGGCCTCAGTTATCTCATCTGTAAAACAGAAGATTGGTTGTTATGGGCTGAATTGAACCATAAAATTCATATGTTGATGTCCTAAACCCCTGGACATCAGAATATGACCTTATTTGGAAATAGGGTGATAGCAGATGTAATTAGTTAAGTTGAGGTCATACTAGAATAGGATGGGCCCCTAATCCAATTGACTGGTGTTCTTATAGAAAGGGGAAATTTATACACAGACACATATGCAGGGAGACTGCCATGTGAATTTTAGAGTTATGCTGCCATGAGGCACAAGACTACCAGAAGCCGGGAGAGAGACCTGGAAGCTCTCCTTCTGGGACAGCTGCAGAGGGGGCACGACTCTACCAACACCTTGATTTCAGACTTCTAGCCCCCAGAACTGTGAGACAATACATTTCTGTATTGTCTAAGCCACCCAGTTTGTGGAGCTTTGACACAGCAGCCCTAGCAAATTAATACACTGGTTTACACCATGAAGATCACGTTCAGGTCTGACATACTATTCCATCGTCTCCACATATCCTGCAGAAAATCTGAACTAAATGTGGTTATACAGGAAGATTTCTGTTTTCCATCCATTATTCATTTGTGATTTTTCTTTTTAGAGACTACTTATGTTTCTTTTTTTTTTTTAAACTCAAAAAACATTTTTTTCCATTTAAATAAGTATTTAGAACACATTGAGCAAGGCGACATTTATTCGTCTTCTCGTCTTCCGGCATGGGGTCTGTTGGTGGTTCCTCCACTGTGGCCCTGCGGCTCTCTGAGCCGGCATTACTCTCACAGGCCCCTTCCTCAGCTGTACTGTTCACCCCCTCCTGCCCGCTCTCCTTGTCCTCAGGAGTAGACGTGCTTTCTGTAGCTTCTTCAAGGCGTGTCTCCTCTGTCCCCATCGGGATTCTCTTGTCGTCTTTCTTCTCCTTGGTCTTCCTTGCAGCTTGCTCTTCCTCAGGAACCATGCTGCTTTGACCAAGTTCAGCTTGCTCTGCTGCCTCTTTCTCCCTTTCCTTCTGCCTTTTTCGAGGCTGTTCCTCTGCCTGTGCCATTTCAGCCGCAGTTTTTTCCATATCCACTCCGACTTTCAAACCACACAAATTTTTAAGTCCACTGTTCAATGAATCTGTGCTTTCCAGGAATTTCCTCTTCTTTTCCTGGTGTTGCTCCTCTATTTGAAAAGTTCAGCTTCTAGTTTTCACTGATGAACCATTAAGGACTGGACCTGTCGTTTGAGGACTTGCAATCTAGCTGTTGTGACAACTGACTGAACGTCTGGCACCACCCTCTCACTAAGAATTTCACTGATGAGGCGGCGGTTTCTCTGGAAATGGGTGGTGGCCTTATGCGTCACTGAAAAGCCATCATCAGGATCATTTGGATTTGAGCAGGCTGAACACTCATGTAAGGTTCTCCTTTTTCCATGTGAGACTCTCTGTTGACTTTCTTTCTCTAAAGCAGCTTCTGCATGACTTTTTGCATTTATGTAAGCAAGGTATGAGGAGGGGGGGATTATGATAGGCCTTCATAGATTCATTGTACTCTCTCTTTTCTGCTTCATATTCATTTAAATATTCTTGTTTTTCTTCATCAGTGAGATCTCGTCACATGCCACCAATAATCTTGCCAATCTCCCACAACTTTAGATCGGGGTTGGAAGATTTTACTTGGTCCCAGACCTTTCTGCTGCACCTCATGTAGGCCATCAGTGGCTCATCTGGTGGTTTTGGGGGTTTTGGAATCATAATACCAGAAGATGCCATGACCTGACTGTTGGTGCCCGGGTTCCCTCCCAGCCTCTGGTTGTTGCAGGCGAGATGACTATATGGATTGTATCCCATAAACCCTGGTGGGCATTTGTGTTGCAGGAGCTGGAGTGGGAGGTGGGGCATAGATGGTCTTTTTGACATTTTGGAAGATTAAGTTCTCAGTTCCTTAAGAATGAATCTGAGACACCATGGGCAGAAAAAGCCTCACTTATGTTTCTTAAATAGATATTTTACTAATGGACTCAACAGATTCAACCCAAAGAAAAAGCCCTCTTGAGGCTCAGGTTGAAAGGGATAGATGCAACACAACTAAAATGCTTCAGAGATAGATTCTGGGACATGCGTGACATGATAGTGGTGGGTCTGTCCTTACCTCAGCAACAAAAACCCTTTTGAGAATCATTTATTTTTGAACCATACAGAAATATTTTAGCAAAGCATATTAATGGTTCTATGTCATTCCAGCAACAGTAACATCAAACCCATAGAAAACAGAAACAAAGCAACCTATCTCGATATTTTTTTAAACTTTTTTTTTTACAGTTATCATAGAAGAAACAGAACTGTGTCTTTTATTTCACAATTTATGTATCTAATCTAATGTACTCTTTTATTTCTTGGATTCTGAAATTTAAAGAATAGAGAGAAAAAAGAAAAGGCACAGTTTTATAAGACAAAGGGAATTTTTCCCTATTTAAAAGGACAAGAACCCTCCCCCAGCAACCCCTTTAGGAGCATTAGGCTCTGATACTTCTGGAAAAAGGAAAGGATTTGGAATGAAAGGGGCTAAACAAAGAACCCCAGAGGGGAATGGAATTCGTGGAATAGTAATGTCCTCTTCTGGGTAGGAGGAGAACTGAGCAGAGCATCCAAACTGATCCTAGTACTTCCCTTGCCAAACATGGGCATTTGGTAGGAGATCTTATTATTACAATTATGATTATTACAAGATTATATCAGAGTGTCTTGTTCTCTCATCTACAAAACAGAGGTAGACTGCCTCCCAGACATAGAATATAAAAAGGATGGCAAGCATTCCATAGAATGAGATTTGATTTTTTTTATTAAATGTCTTGTATCCCTGGAAAGATATGCTTCAATAATAATAGCAGAACCACTGACTGAGCATGCTGAATATACTACTAGGCACTGGAAAGGGGTTTTGCATACTTTTTTCTCATTTGGTCCTCAGAACAACCCTACTAGATACATGTATTTTAGCCTTACTTGAGAGATGGTAGAATCTGAGGCCAGAGATATTAATTAACTTTTTCGATGTTGAAAGGCCAAGAAGGCACAGAGCCAGGATTCAAATTCACATCTCTCAGCTCTGTAGGGATCCCAGATGCAGGACTCATGGGCTGCAAAGCTCACTGCTGTGCCAGGACAGACACTATTAATTGATTATAGCACTCACTTTGGAATTTCTCTGGGCTGACAATACTGATGGTAGAGAGTTAAACCAATTTGCTAATTAGCCTGTGCTCCCTAACAGTGGTCCCGATGGCCTCATCTTCAGAGATTCTGATTCAGTAGGTCTTGGGTTGGACCCCAGATCTTTATTTTAAGGATTTTCTAGATGTTTCTGATGACAGCCAGGTATGATATCCACTACTTTCTGCACCTATGTTCTGTGAGGCCAGGTCTTTTCTGTTTGTCTATTTGTTTTGTCTGTGGGTTTCTGAAATAAACGCAAAAGCTATGGCAATAATCTTGGGTGGGAGAGGCACCTATTGACTGCTGCTACTTATAGAATGACTACTTCATGAAAGGCAGGTCTAGTGCCTTCTTTTTCTTTTGTGAACCACCAAAACGCTGGAAGGGAGACCTTGTCATACCCTTCTGTGCCAAGTACCCGGTGAATTTTAGAGATACCTGAGTGTCCTCCCTCAAATATGACTGTGATGAGCTTGAAGGGAAGAAAGACCCTTTAGCTATGCTCCAAGAAGGCCCTGCTTGGAGGAGTATAGAATATAAATAAGAATAAGTGAAAATCTTATAATTTATGATTCATTATTAATCCCACTCCTTTAATTCATAACAAATTAACTAACACTGTTCCCCTCCCCCCCAAAAAATTACTACATGTAGTAGATTACAAACGTGATGAAAAGCAGCAGCAATACCCCATTAATGGTTATAAATGTCTCAAGGCTTATATTCCTCATCTATTTGGAGAATCTGCCTACGTAATTAAAGAGTAAGGAGAATTAAAAAGATGAAAAATATCAGGAAAACAGGGTGCCTGGAAGTTATCAACACTATTTTACTTCTACTGTTACTTCTTAATGGCTTAATTTTCCATGGACAACATTTTAAAAATGTAAATTTCTAGATTAAAGAAAAAAGCCCCAGACTTCATTATCTTCCCAGCAAAACAGGTATTTGTCAAACAGTAAACTTACATCTTTGGCTTCTCCACAAGGTACCGAAAGTGTTTACTTCCAATGATTTTCACCACTGTCTCAGGCATTGCTTCTGATTCACAGGGAGTCTCCCAAACAGAAGGCATGCTTCTTCTCAAAGCCCTTTCAAATCCTTGGGTTGGAAAATAAGTAAATCTTTCTTCCTCTTGATTTCCCATTAGTCAGTTTAGCATCCTTGTCAATATTAACAAAAATAATAGCAGGACCAAGTGCTTTACCTATCTTATCTCACTTGACATTCCTAATAAAGGCATGAGTAAGATATTCTTAATTACTATTATCATACTTGTCTTACAGTTGAGGGAACAGGCATAAGGTAGTTATGTAATTTACTCAGTAGCATAGAATCAGTAATGAGCAGAATTGGGAATCCCACTCAAGAGGTCTGCAAAAACAGGTCTACTGAGCCATTTGGAAACTCTACCTTCTTGATAGCAGATGGGATTCTTGTGAGGTCAGAGAGGAAACCAGGGCTTTAGTGGGTTATATGAAGATCTTATGTTCAGCTCTCATGCTCAGTTTCCCTTCTTACAAAACTGGGATAATTCCAGTTCTACTTTCTGGGATTTAGGGTGAATCCAATAAGATAATGCATCTGAAGGAGTGCTGTACATAGGAAAGAGGGATTTTTGTTGTTATTGTTGGTGTGTGTTTCTGCAATAATCTGGTGAATCTGAAGTTGAGATCCTGTATTAGATAAATACTGGGTGTTTATACAGGTCTGATGCCAAGGGCAACTTAGAAGTTCTATAAACCTGGCCCCAGGCTGATCACTCTCTTTCAGAGACACTCACAGACTGAAAGCTCTTCAGAGATCATTCTAATCCAAATGCTGGATTTACAGATTGGTAAACCAAGACCCAGAGAGGGTGTATCATTTGACCAAACTCAACAAAGCGAGTGTGACTAGACCCGTTTCTAGTGCTCAGGTCTGAGGTAGACCGGCGCTTTTCCCAGGACCCCAGCTTCACTTGGTGTGTGGTCTGCATGAAAGAAAGACCTGCTCTGAGAGGGTAGCCCTATCCAGCGGGACCTGCAGCCTCTTTGAGGCTGTCTGGAAACTTCAAGGACCACAGTTTGTGACTGTGGGGGTCCCCTTTCTGCCCAGCAGCTGTACGTCAGTCCTGAGCCCTTTCCTGGGATAGAACAGAGGGGTTGGCCTTACCGCTGAGGCGGTGTTTCTCCACCCGGGCAGCTCAGGGTTACTCCGTCTGTTTTCTCCCCAGGATCGAGACCCTCGGCGACCTGCAGGGAGCAGGGCGGGCGATAGGAGCCCAGGAGTCAAGCCAATCACAGGGCCCGACTCGTGGGGCTGCTCCTTCCCGGGTCGCCAAGGACGCAGAGGCTGTTGCTGGGCGGGGACCAAGTTTCCATTCCCCGGAGGGTGGCTGGGGCCTCCTCCGCGGGGCGCCTGAGAGCTCCTGCAGACAGGGAAGAGTATCTGTTCTCAAATCTGTGCTTTGGAGCTTCTCCAAGATCTGTGAGCATTTTTCTTGAAGCTCATCTCGCTCACCTGTGTAGTCACGCTTGTCCCGCTCTTTCCCTTAAGCTTCATTTTTCCTTGGTGAAATTGGCAGGTAATTGGAATCTTGTACTTGTCCCTTCAAATCCAGGCCCTTCCACTGTATGGCTTTGGATAAATCCCTTCTTTCCTCTGAGGTTCAATTTCCTTATCTGTAAAATGAGGAAAAGTAGTAACACAGACGTAAAGGTAAATCGGCGATGAAATTAAATAAGAGTATAAAAAATTAATTTTATGGCAGATCCCTCATTTGAGCCAGACAACTGTCCTTACCTTATAAGTTAACAATTACCAGTAACATAATTTTATTTATTTTTTAAAGATTTTTATTTATTTATTCGAGAAAGAGAGAGAGAATGTCAGAGGCTGAGGGAGAAGCAGGCTCCCTGCCGAGCAGGGAGCTGGATGGGGGACTCAATCCCAGGACCCTAGGATCATGACCTTAAGCAGACACTTAACCGACTGAACCACTCAGGCGCCCCTATATTTTAAAATTAAAAATAAATAGGGCTTGGGGTGTTGAGTAATTACCCAAGACCCCACTGAAGCAATTGACAGAGCCTAGATTTGAAAATATATATTCCTACACCTCCCAAATTTCCAGAAAATTTTTGTTATGTTTAAAGACTTCAGCAAACATGGGTAAAGACACTTTAAATTGACTCCAAAGTGGTGCTACTGTTTCCAGCTGCAGCAGCCCCAGCATCCATATTGCCTGCCTCCCACCCTCTGGCTCCACTGTGCTTTGTGGTTCTATATCATCTACTGGCACATGCAGTGTGGAGATACACTCAGCTACCCTCTAGGGCTCACTCTCTAGTGAGCAAGACACACAGGCACATTCTGTGCTATACAAAGTACCTCAGAGTAGAGGAAAGAGAGCAGCTCCCTATTTACTCTTCCAGCCCAGCTTCACAGGTCAGTCCTCCCAAGGCACAATTCTGATAAGCCCCCTCAAACCCAAGGTCTCAAAGGACTCCCACCAGTCAAAGAGGTTGTCCATGGTTTCAAAGTCTTCTATGACCTATCCTCAGGTTAGCTCTCTAGTTTGATCTCCCACTACTTCTCCCAGGCTTGCTATATTCCATCCCACCCAGTTTACCGACTGGCTTGAATCTGTCTCTTATTTTTCTGCTTCTGTGCCTTTTTCATTCTGTTCTCTCTGTACAGGACCCTTCTGTTTATTCACTGTGTCAGCCTGCAATCCATTCTTTAAGTTTCATCTCAAATGGTCAAGAGTATGCACTTGGGAATCAGATACCTTAGGTTCAAATCCTAGCTGTGCTAGTTCAAAGGGATCTTTGGCAAATCACTTAAAGTCTTTGTGCCTTAGCTTCCCTCTTCTATAAAACGAGGATGACTTTTTGTGAAGATTAATTGAGTTATATAAGTAAGGTACTTAGAACAATGGCTGACACATAATGAGCAATATTAATGTTTGCTATCATCATTATTATAATTATCTGTCCAGAAGCCAAGTCAGATCCCAGAAGCTGAAAATGGTTTCTCCGTTCTCTGTATAGTTCGTGGTTTCTCTCTTTTATAAAATGTATCTTTCTTTGCCTGATACTATGGCTATTTGTTTGCACTGGTTTCCATACCTTCCTGGACTATGCTTGCGGTAGGCTGAATAATGGCCCCCCAGACATCCATGTCCTAATCCTTAAAAACCTGTCAATTTTATCTTCTGTGGCAAAAAGGACTTTGAAGATGTGAGTAAGTTAAGAATCTTGAGGTGGGGATTACTCTGGATTATCCAGGTGGGTCTTAAATATAATTGCAAGTGTCCTTAGAAGAGGGAGGCAGAGGGATATTTGACTACAGAAGAGGAAGGAGGAGATGTGACCATGAAAGCAAGAGGTTGGAATGATTTAAAGAAGGGGTTTGGGCCAAGAAATGCAGGTGGCCTCCAGAAGCTAGAAAAAGACTCCAGAAGAAACCAGACCCGGCTAACTCCTTGACTTTAGCCCAGTGAGACTGATTTTGGGCATCTGGATTCTAAAACTCTAAGAGACTAAAGTTGTATTGTCATGACCTGCCAAGTTTGTGATAATTGATGATAGCAGCCATAGGAAACAAATGCAATGCTATTGAAGGACCCACTTCTTTAAAGAACTGATCTCACTCTGTGGCTTATGTAGGCCAAACAGAGTTCTTATTGAAGACCAATGTACAGGTGTTGGATGACAAAGAGGCCTTCTATCTGTTGGGGTCACTAAAGTGTGAGGATAAGGTATTGAGACTGTTGGCAGATATTTATGTCAATACATAAATATCTTTTCAGCAGATGAGATGGAAGCCAGATCAGAGCTGAAAATGGAACCAGTGTGGGAAGGGGATGAGAGCAAAGAGCCTGGATCCAGCTATGCCTGAAGCTAGAAAGATTCTAGAACTTCTAAACACAGAAGTGAAAAATTTCCCTCTTTCTTAAGATATTTTGAGGTGAGCTTGTTAATCTTTACCCAAAGAGCCCTGGTGAATGCAGAGACTTTCTTTTATTTTTTTTATTTTTTTTGTAAATGCAGAGACTTTCAAACTTCAGGTTGCTAAGGTTCATATGTGGGGTGCAGTTAATTGATTCAATGGCATTTTAAGTTTCATTGTTAATTCTGTGATAAAGCTTGAAGAAGTAAATCAATTTTGATCAAATCAGATATTCTACTAAAGACACTCCTTTGACCTTATCTTGACTTAAAGATTTTATAAATGCCAACTTGAAACACAATGATATAAAAGGGAGGCTTTCCGTTGCAGCTCTTCTGTCAGTTTGAAGGTATTCATTTGAAATGTGATATATTTTTTCAGACCCGAGGGAACCTCTGCTTTGCCGTTTCCTAGCCAAATGACCTTGAATAAGCAATTTCACTTTTATCTTTGAGGTGGAGACAAACAATAATTACCCTGAAGATTGCTATTGGGATTGGAGATAATATTCTTAGAGCCCCCGGCATGGAATAAGCTTTCATAAATTGCATTCTTGTTCATAACAGTAGCAGCTAACATATAGTGAATATTATGTGCCAGACATTGTGCTAATAGCTTTCCATTTGGTATCTTATTTAATCTTCACAACAATCTTTTGAAATAAGGACTTAATATCCCCATTTTAGAGATGAGGAATCTGAGGTTTAGAGAAGATAACTTGCTCAGAAGGAATGTAGCTAGGAAGACAGAGCTGCAAAAAAATCCGGGTGTGTCTGATTCTAGAAGTACCTTTATAGCCACTACTCTTTACCTCCTCTGTGGCAGTTAGGCATTGTTGTTGTTGTTATTATAATTATTACTATTATTATTATTATTAATGTTTTCATAGGCACTGCTTTAAGGTTTTAGTTCCCTTTGAGAATGCTGATTCTATGGTAGAATTCTTAAGGAGTGGCCTCTTCTTATCTGGGATTTTCTACTTCACACTCTGGTTCATGAAATGACACAACCAGGAAACGTCTCTCCAGTGGTTTATATTAAACAAGGCAAAACAAAAAGCTATGTAATAAATGTCTCCAGAAGATTAAATACTGTGGTTAAAACTTTCCTTGAATTCAACAGCTTTAGATTACAAGTCAC